CGAAATTATTAAAACGAAGGCCACAATACATGCCAAACAATCTCCTAACCCGATTACTAAGGATAATGTTTCCTCTATGCCTAAAACACAAGCACAAAAAAACAAAAAGAAACCGCCTAAAGAAGACTGGATGTTTTGGCATGCAGATGCTGACGATAAAGACGATCATCAATTACCTGTTGAGGAGGAAGGGAATGATGAACGTCCTTTATTCAAAGAATTGTTGTCCAGACTCAAGGAAGTGATTTATCTGAACAATGTCAGTTTTAGTTATAAGATTTTTTTTTTTTTTTTTTTATTCTAACAAACTATTTAGGGGCTTTTATCACAGATATGTCAGCCCCATCGTACCCTTTACATTACTTTACGTACTTAACATTGACTCACTTGATTAATTGTTATTCGTGGAGGACCAAAATCAAATAGCACAACTTTTTCATAATCGCTGAAGATGGTACAGATAAAATGGATTGTATAATGCCTACATCGAATTTATTTATTTTAAAATCCTTCACGAATATCTCACGTTCTTCTCCATTCCGAGCACACTCCATCAGCAAATGTTGGACATCTTCAATTTGACCACAAAGTGTACAGTTAGGAGAATCGGTCTTTTTCATAAGAAATGCAAACTTCGCCGATGGATAGTGTCCCGAACGGAGTCTTAATATTAATCTAACATAGTTTCTATCCAAATTAGTATTCTCAAACCAAGGAACACGATTAGGCCGACCTTGGATGCTTTTGTACCAAATACCTTTATCCATAGATAATTTGAAAAAATGACTTTTCCACAAATTAAAGCATGTGAGTTTGTATTTACTTGTATATTCCCAATAATCAGGTACGTAATTAATTATACATCCCTCTACCACTGCCGACCTGGATATACGGTCGGCCTCCTCGTTTCCGTTAAGTCCAATATGTGCTGGAACCCACTGCAATCTACATTCAATATCATTATTTTTCAGTATCGTTATAACTTTTAGAATATCATATGCTATCGAAGTACCTCTGCTGTAGCCAGAGGCGCATCGAGCAATATGTTGGAGTGCGCTTTTACTATCTGAAAAAATTACTGCTTTATTCAAATTTTTATTCAAGACGTAATTAAGTGCTTTGTAGATTGCTATGAGTTCCAGCGACATAATGGATACATCACATTTAATTTTATATCCAAATCTGTTGCCTAAGCTCTGGTCAAATATCCCCGCTCCTTGTCCCTGGGGGCTTTTAGATGCGTCAGTGTAAATTTTATGCCATCCGAAATATAACGTATTCAGTTCTGCTATAATCTCATTCAGCAACATATTTTGGTTGTAATTACGTTTAGCAGTGCTTAAACTTTTGAGTTTAATTTTAATATTTTTTGTATTAATGGATGTCCAAATTTCTAGGCTAAACATTTTTAAATATTCTGATGCTGTAATTTCCAAATGTCTGACGTCATTATACACTTCAACAAGCAATGGTATTTTTTTATTTTGCCAATAAGAAGTACGACATAAATTACTCAGATTGGATACAAGATCAATTGTGACATTATTTGACCACGATCGGCTTTTTAGACAAAATTTGTATGCTAAATATTTTCTTCTCAAAAATAAAGGTGGGATACATAAATCTGATTCCATTACGTGAATAGGGGAGCTTTTAATATAACCTCCTATGATTCGTAAGGCCTGATTTTGCAGTTTGTCAAGTTTCGATAAATGTGCATTGGCACTGCAGTCATATAGAAACGAACCATAATCCAGTCGGCTTCTAATTAATGAGATGTATAATTTACGTATATGTTTAATATGTATACCCCAAGAGCTCCCAGTTAATAGCTTTAATATATTCAGAAATTTTGAGCATTTCGCGATTGTTTCATTTATGTGTTTACTCCAGCGTAAACTTTGGTCCAACCACATACCAAGATATTTAGTGCATGGTGAAAATGGTATAGACTCTTCATTTATTTTAAGACAAGGTTGTATTCTACGTTTACCCCTGCTAAACACACAATATGTAGTCTTATTGGTAGATAGTTCAAGACCAAGTTCGGCTAATGACACGACAATATGATCTAATGTGTTTTGAATATTCATTGCGCATTTCATGATATCCTTATCTTTAACATATATTACGAAATCATCAGCATATTGTGATATTACTACAGGATTAAGACGTGATTGACATATTTTGTATGTAATTAAATTAAATAGTAGCGGGGATAAAGGGTCTCCTTGCGCTAAACCTTTATTACTCCATCGATCTGTTATTAAATCACTGAATTCTGTTTTAAGTTTTAAATGTCTCTCATTCAAAAAAGACCATATATAATTACAAAATTTTGATCCAACTTGAAGTTCATCTAAAACTTTGCCTACTACATCAACTGATACATTATTATATGCATTTTGAATATCCAGGAAACAAGCTAACGTAGGTAAGTTTTTAGAAAAGCCATTCTGTATATATGTAATTAGGCGACTTAAAGAATCTAAACAAGACAATGATTTTCTAAATCCAATATTGAGTGGTGATAAAATATTTCTTCTCTCAATGTACCATTCTAGACGTTTTACTAACATTAAATGGAATATTTTGCATAAACATGAAATTAGGGATATGGGTCTTAATTTAGGGTCAGATGTTGTATTTTTTGCTTTAGGAATAGGTATTATCTGTATGTTACGCCACTGAATAGGTACAACGCCTGAAGCAAAGATTTTATTATATATGTAGTAAAAAAGCTTTTGCTGGGTTGGGAAGATTATAAATCATGGAATAGGAAATACCATCCTCACCAGGTGCCGAATCTTTTTTTTTCAAACTAGTTTTTAATTCCTGGATATCAAAATCACACTCTAAAGTTTCATTTCTAGATACAAATACAGGTCTTTTGTTTGTTACATAGTCAGGAGTCAGTGATTTTAGTAGCTCGTTTTGTTTATCGATAGGAGGATAGATGGCAGATTGTTTATAACCCTTCATCCACCGCATACGCCGCCACATATCATAAACAGATACTGTATGGTCAACAGAATCACAAAATCTCTGCCAACCCAATGATTTCGCCTTCTGACTTGCAATATGAAATTCTTTAATTTTAGCTTCCAATTTGGACAAGTTATCAGGGGTTGGATTACGGCGGAACTTGGCTAGACATAACCTTCGTTGTGCAACAAGGTGGGACAATTCAGGTGTCCAGTAATCTTTTGGTTTGAATTCTTTTGTGGGTTTAGAACTATATTTATTGAATGGAATATATTTATCAGCTGCCAGATTTATTTGATGTATAAAAAAGTCGTACGTACTTTGAATATTGATGTCATCATACTGCACACTAAAAGTTTTAGATAGAAATTCTCTATACTCCTTCCAATCTGCCTTTTTGTAGTTCCTTTTCCTATGTATCGGGAAATCATCCGGTATTGTGATTGTCATTTTAATTATCAGGTGATCACTACCTAGGTTTTCATTGAGTACTTTCCAACCGAATTTGATTGCGATATCAGAAGTAGCAAATGATATATCCGGTGACGTTTTTTGCAATGTACCATTAACTAGTTTAATTCTGGTTGGTGAGCAACTATTAAGTGAAAAGAAGGAATTTTCAAGCGACGAATCCAGTATTTGAGTTCCTCTGATATCTGTTTTGATAGACCAGTTAGAGTGATGACCATTGAAGTCACCGGCTATTAAAGTTTTATTTGGGAAAAGAGAGAAAATTTGTTCCCAGTCCGAAGGTTGTGTTACAACTGAAGATGGACAATAAACTGCAACGATATATTCTAAATCTTTACAATTGATCAACTTAGCACTTATCACTTCTATACCTGAATTCAAAACCTGAAAAAAATTTGAATGTGACCGGATGGATTTATGAATGAAAATAGCAACACCGCCGTAAGAATCATATCTGTCTTTTCGATAGATGTTATAGCCACTTACGTTTAAGTCAAATTCACTGTCTAGCCATGTTTCGCTTAGGATCGCTATATGAATTTTTTCTTTATTTAATAGCTCTGTAAATGAAATCATTTTGGGCCTCAGAGATTGCGAGTTCCATTGGATAATGTTGATGCCTATATTTTTGTTTGTATTATGCATTTATAAATTCAATAATGTTATCTAACCAGTTTCCTTTTAGCAAAAGATTGAATACAAATTTCTTTAGCTCTTCAAATATGTTTTTAAACAACAACAATATCTTTTCTTCAAATGTCCCTTCTGATGTAAATATTATTATTAAATTAGAAATTTCTTCAATTCAAATCTTTCAAGTAATTCTTTATCTTTTTGACTGTCTTTGTCTTCAGATTGTGATGGAAAACTCTCAAATATTTTTCCGTTGTTCTATCTGTCCGAGATTGGTTTTTCTTGCTTTGCATATGTTTGTTTGTTTTTTTCTCAAATGACTTATTTGTGGTGTTTTGTTGCCATTGTACGTCACTTCCTTCCTTCTCCTGAATAATGTGTGAAGGCTTCTCCGGTCTGCGTTTTTGTAGTGTCTTGGTAAGCACGCTGCTATATGTTTGAGATTCGTTTAGTGGGTTTGTAGGAAGCGATGACTTTTGCATTGCATTTTGAGAAATAGTTGTCTCTTGTTGTTTACCAAGAAGCAGTTGAAGTGCTTTTCTGTAGGGTACCTGCTCTGTACTCATGATATTTCTTATATCCTTTTCTTTCAAATATAGAGGGCATTTTTTGTCTAGCACAAAGTGATTTCCTTTACAGTTTAAGCACGAAATATTACTTATATCGCAATTTGCGTGGTTTCCACCACATTTAGGACATATTTTTTTCTTTGTAGGACAGTATTTTAGGACATGTCCGAATTGCCAACATCCAGAGCACTGTGTTACGGGGAACACGTAGGGGTCAACTTTTAAACGGCAATCATATGCGTAAATATGTGATGGGAGATTATTACTTCTAAAACATACTCTTATAGACTCACAATCGATCCATTTATTCTCAGAATTAAAGCGTCTCAGTCTTTTGACTGACTATCTCTGTACTGCATTCCAATATTCCATTATATCCTTTTCTTTTAATTCTAGATCCACCCCTTTCACTACCCCGTAGGATAGGGTCATCTCATTTAGTAGTTGGCATCTCCATCCCATATCTTTAAATTTTTGACATTCCATTAATTTAGTGGCATCTTCTTTTTCTTGAAACTGAATTAAAACTTTGTTAACACTTTTATATTTTATTCTTGTAACATTCTTAATATTTTCACATCTCAATAATCGGGCAAATGCCATTTGTTTAGGTAAGTTTTCTAAGGAAGTTACACACACCTCAAAACTTGCCAAGTTGTTCATTTCATCATCTTTTTTTTCCGAATCTACCCTCAACTGATTTTGTGACCCTGCAGAGTTACTTCTAATTAATATTTTATTCTTTCTCCTATTCACAGTAATAAAGTCATCTTCATCATTAAGATCATCTTCTCTCTCTTTTCTCTTCTCAGGCGTTTTCTTTTCACTTTCTTTATGTATTTCAACTCGCGTAATTTTTGGGTCCAAAGATTCGTCATAGTCTTTTTCACAATTTAGTAATATTTCTATATCATTTCCATCTTCGTCTTCTCCACTCTCCATTTTAGGTTGTAAAAAGTTTAAACTAAAATTTATCTAGAAAAACTATTCGCGGAAGAAAGTAATAAACACAACAGCGGGTCGGTAAAATCAACCGTGCGCTACGGTTCCGCGACGCATACTGTAGTTATAAGATAAAGTGCATCTTTCAGTTGTGTCTAGAATGGTTGACCTTAGTATCAGTGAGTTTTGTTTCAGAGTGGTCGTGGGCGAATGCTTTGTTTAATTTCTTTTTATCTCGCAATGGCTAACAAACCAATTAAATTGAATGTAATCCAGTGGAATGCCCAAAGTATAAGGCCAAAACTGCCAGCATTTTGTGAACTCTTGCGTCAGGAAAGAGTACATATTGCTGCCCTTAGTGAAACATGGTTAGCACTAAACAGTAGTTTTAAAGTTAATAGTTACAATGTTTATCGCACGGATCGTGATGATTCATACGGCGGTGTAGCTATACTTGTACACAAATGTATTAAGTCACAGCTGCGGCGCATTCACGTTAATAATATGGGTATTGAGGTAGTGTGCGTGCAATTATTTAACTGTGACCCGATCGAATATATTGTTTCTGTTTATTGTCCATCGAGAATCTTTACAACTGAACAGGATTGGGATACTCTTTTTTCATTATGGACTTCTAAAACACTTATTCTGGGCGATTTTAATGCTCATCACACAAGTTGGTCATATAAGACGGACCACCGAGGCAGTATTATTTACGACTCATTAATCGAAAACAGGTTTTTCTGTTTGAACAATGGATCACATAGGTACACGAGTCCGTTTGGCTGACAATATTTTACAACAGTCTTCCCCAGATATATCTGTTGACGTAGCAATCAACTTTAATTGGACTGTTTTAAATGGAAACCTGGGTAGTGATCATTTAATAATTAAATTGTCAACATTATGCACGACCTACTTGCCTCCTATTACAAAAAGGAATTTTAGCAAAGCAGACTGGACTTCGTACAAAAAGTATCTGGAACATAAATGCCAAAGCCTATGTTTACCAGATGACTTACAAGAAGCTTATGACCGTTTCTTAGATGTTCTAAATGACGCGGCTAACCAATTTATTCCTATGTACAAGGTTAATCAAAACCCTACTTCTGTTTTCTCCCAGAAACCATATTGGACCCCAGATCTGTCACAAACCGTGGCCCATCGTAGGTTAGCATTATCCAAATTTAGACGCAATCCCACACCTCAAAACCTTGAAGATCTCAACAGGAAAATAAGTATATCCCAAAAGCTAATTCGTCAGGCTAAAAGGGAGAACTTTCAAAACTTTTGCTCCTCAGTTGATCACACCACTTCATCTAGCGAAATGTGGCGCAAAATGAGATGGTTGAAAGGCTACCGTTCACCCAGAAATTTTGTAGACGTCCAAAGTTCCACAAATCTTCTACTTTCAGTAACACCTGATTATGTATCCCCACCAATCCCTACTATTTACAATATGAACCCTACATATATTAGAGTGCGAAATCTCTTTTCAGGAGCTAGTTAAATGTATCAAATCAAAGGATACATCTCCTGGATGCGATAACATATCCTACTCTATGATTAAGAATTTACCTGAAGTAGGTAAGTCTAAATTATTAACTTTATTTAATCGTTTTTTTATAACAGTTTTGTTCCCAGTCAGTGGCGCAATATTTCTATCATACCAATTCCAAAACCTTGTCGTGACCCTAGTAACATTTCTTCACTCCGACCCATATCACTACTTTCATGTATTTGCAAAATTTTCCACTATGTTTTGTATAGAAGGTTGGAATGGTTTCTGGAAAAGAATAACACTTTCTCCTCTAATACAGTCGGCTTCCGTAGAGGTAGGTCGTGTTTAGACAGTTTGAGTTGCCTTATCACTACAATTCAAACCGGTTTTTCTGAAGGTTGTTCCACTATAGGATGTTTTTTAGATATAGATAGTGCATACAACAATGTAAATAACTCTGTTTTAATAAAAGTATTAGACAATTTAAAAGTCGGGTCACGTATCTGTATGTATTTATGGAATTTTTTACATAAAAGAGTACTGAAGATAAGAATTGGCAACAGTTTTATTAGTAGATATTCCGGTATTGGTTTGGCCCAGGGTGATCCGTTATCACCACTTCTATTTAATATAGTAACGTCACATATATGTAAACATATACAACACAATGTTTGTATTTCACAGTACGCGGATGATTTTGCTATTTATGTACAGTGTTCTTCTGTTAGTGAGGGGCAACGAAAAATCCAGATTGCGCTTGATCTCATTAACGGCATGTTGACACGTGTAGGATTAGAAATCTCCCCCGATAAATCGAAAATCTGTTTTTTTAGTAGAGGTTCTCGAAGGCCAGTAATAGATATATTTTTAAACGGAACTTTGTTAGAGGTAGTAGATCATGTAAAGTACTTAGGCTTATGGCTTGATAAAGGGCTTCGATGGAAGAGACATATTCATGAGGTTCGTGAGCGAATTTTTAAATTAATTAATATTTTTAAAGTTTTAGTAGGATCTGGGTGGGGCGTCCATCCTAAACACTCAAGAAAGCTGTACTTACCTATATATCCCTTATTCGTAGTCGTATTGATTTTGGTAGTTTTATACTTGATACTAGCGCAGACACACACTTAATTAAATTGGACAGGTTACAAAATATTTGCCTACGTTTAATAGGTGGGTTTATCAAAAGCACACCGATCCATGTAATGGAATCCGAATTGATATTGCCTCCCCTTTTTATCCGCCGTCGATATTTAGCTGGTAAAATTTATTTAAAATCCAAATGTTACAACTTTCCACTTATCAGTTTACTGGATAAACTACATGGCCATTGTTATAATAATCCATATTGGAGAAATAAGAAAAAACCTTTGTTAGTTGAGTCTCACGATATACTCAAACGAGAAAATCTGTACCGCAGCAGTCAAATAGGCATGTTTTCCATGAACACTTGGGTTAGCAATATGGACCTTTCAAATATTGTAAAATCTAATTTAGATTCAGTTAATAAACCTAAGCATTGTTATAACGTACATTATTTAAGATCAATATGTTGTGATTCTTTAAACGCGCACTATTCCGGTTTCTATTGTTTGTATACAGACGGCTCGAAGCAAGGCGATTATTGTGGTGCTGCCGTTTATGATTCGCAAACTGGAATTTCTTTTAAATTTAAAATTGTATCGACTATTTCTATCATGCATTTGGAGCTTATTGCTATAGCTGAAGCTTTAACTTATCTTGAGTCTGTGGACGTGGATCGAATTGTTATTTTCACTGACTCAAAAAGTGCTCTTCTCCATCTTGTGAAATGCACGAGTATTTCTTCTTTTAGGGGACTTCCACTGGGATTCACTATATTAAAAATGCCAGCTAATCTTGTTGCCAACCGTTCACAAAACCGTTGTACTGCAGTGGATCCCCTCTCACGTTGGATTAGTAGGTAACGAGATGGTTCATCGTTTGGCTAACGAAGCAAGTACAGATGGGGAATTTTACCAATGTGCTCCTTGGCACACTGAACTCTTGCCCTTAGTTAGAGACAGATGTATCCAAACATGGTCAGAATACTTCGATGAAAGATCCTTATCTAAGGGTATTTGGTATAGGACCATACCCTGGTTCAGCGAGGGGAGAATGAGCAGACAGAGGATCACAACGGCATTGAGGCTCCGCTCGGGTCATGTTCCGCTCAATAGCTTTGGGTTTATGATGCACAAAGTACTTTCACCTAATGTACAGTTTGTGGTACAATCGAAGACGTGAGAGTCCGACCCCAGAGGCGTGGATCCTTTGTTTGCGGTTCTAATGTAGGATTTTTTAATAGCATTCTGGCCTCTCCACTGTCGGCCGAGGCTAGAAAACTATACAAAATTATTATTATAGGTTTAAGGTGTCGGGTAGACTAATCATCAGTAATATTAAGTATTAAATGTATTAGGTATAAGTTATTCGTGTACGCAATAATCGGGGTGACATTTTCTCCTGTGAAAAACCCTGTAAATAAATAAGAATTAAAAAAAAAAGAATGAAATTAAACAATAGATACATTATTCAATGTTCAATATTGTCCTCATCATCGGACCGACCAAATAACAATTCCTTAATAATATTCTTAAATTTGTGAAGCGAAGTATTGTGGATATCAGGCACGCCCATGTCACTCGAGAGTAGCTCGTTGTACTTGCGACACATCCGTATCACAGGATTGTGAGACGATACATTGTTGTTGCACATTGGCAAAGAGAAAAACATCTCGCGTCTAACAGATCTGGTAGGGATCCTGAGGTGAATCTGCGATAATAAGCTCGTGGCAAGAATCCCATTCATAATTTTAAACAAATATACCAAAACCTGGTAGGACCGAAAGTATTATCAACTACTTGGTAGGTAGTTGATAAAATAGTTTCGACATTATGTGACAATTTTACGACTTACGACATGCATCATGGAAATCTTGACAATCGGATTAACGAGAGGTATAAATATAATGAAAAACAGATTTATTTCAAAATTAATTTATTTTAATTCTTAGTAACTATTTAATGGAAGTCAAGAACCGAAATGTTCTTCAATATTTACAATGTTTTACGAATTCTTGGGTTGCAACTACTTGGCCGCGCAAGCTGGCACCGCGTGCAGACGCTTGTATTACATTTACATTGCTGTACGTACCGGTGGAGTGTCTGCATCCGAATCTACAAATAATACTACAGTATATTTGTTGTCGTTTCAAAAGTACCGGTACCCGAGTACCGTTTCGTTGAAATAGATGCTTTTTGACTTTTGTTTGTGTTGCACAATCAGTGTCCCTGGAAGTAAGAATCAAACTGAACAAGGGAGATCGTTTCCTAAACTTTTAATCTATAGTTATTCAAAAGTTAGGACAAATGTTGGTTTTAATCACCAATTTCCCATTGTAAATTCATGTTCAAAGAAACGATCACATAGAAGAAACGTAGTGTGTGAGTGTATAAGTGCCGACCTAACAGGCAGGTACTTACTGATATACATGGGAGCAAACAAATGGACCCACTGCCGTCTTTTTATACAACTCTTTATGAGTTTAAATAGGTAGGTACTTCACTATTTTAGATACTGGATACGTTTAAAAATACCGACTCAATCGGTTAATAGATGTTCTAAAATCGCAAGATATTGCGCACTTGCTCCGTTTTTTTGCCCCCAAGTGTCCAGTAAATATGTTGATGAGTAGTTGTACAGACTCCTGTACTCGCGCACTCGGGCAGATACATGTATACTCAGTATACTACAGTACACACCGGCCACAGCGCCGCCACTACACTTGTGACGCTCTCGTGGGCCATTCGTTGAAGTGGTATTACGAGCGTGGCTACATTATGCGGGAACCACGAGAATAAACCCGCCATGAATGAATATAAGAAATGTTAATTACTTGCGGACTCGCTCGGGTATTTTTTATTTGAACGTCATTGCCTTGTGATATTTACAAGATATCGCTGGGAGTAATAAAATATGTACAATACTAGGGGCTACTGGCGGCCGTTTAATGGCAGCACCTTCCACGCCATCGCTGCGGAGAGAATCGAACCACAACTGTGTTTTGCATTAGTAGCGCGACACAGTCGCTGCCCGGCAGCTCCACGGGTCTTTCTAGATGTAGTTTGACTGTGACGAGGTGAACACACCGCGGTGCTTCGCTGCATTTCTTTCTTTCTATCAATTTGGCTATTTGACCAATGTTGAAATACAATTGTGAACCTTATTGAAAAAGAGTAATCTATGGAGTTCTTCTCCAAAGGATGTACACATTGCAATGACCAAATAGCTTCACTTTTAAATTTGTTGACGTTCTAAAGTGTCTTCCTGGTCTAATTGAAACAAATGATTATGGCTTTGACAACTTATATACCTGGCTTAGGAAAAACATGGTTTAAACGTAAACAATACATTTTCAGTTTCAATTTTAAACGTAGAAGAGCCAAACAGCGCCTGCGTAGTGTGATTCATTGCGGTCACCGGGGACAGAAGCTAGTTATCTGTTATGTAGGTACGTATACGCCTAACGCATTTTATGAAAAAAAATAAGTGGTGTGGTGAATAACAAAACATTTACCAAGTTTTAAAATATTCATTTCACAGAACGTTCAAGTAGCCAAATTGACAAACCAAGCACAGCGCGTGAACAACACTTCGTCGTGGCTCGCGACGCCAGTCGGACTACAGACATTAGAGTAACGAGACTGCCACTTATACTTCCAGTAAATATGAAAGAGGGTCTAATCAAATAGTTCTAATTTAAATTCAGTTTGAGTAGTACTGGTGTACCGTGATCAATCCACGTTCTGAATGTTTCATAGAGAACTAGCACAAGTGAATCTGTGAGCGGAGAGGACGGCGGCGAGCGCCAGCAGCAGCGGGGCGCGGGCGGGCGCGGGCGCGGCGGGGGGCGCGCGCGCCGAGCTGCGGCTCAGCGTGGCCGCCATCGTGTCGCCTGCAACACACGCCGCGTCACTCGCGCGTCACTCGCGCGTCACTCGCGCGTCACTCGCGCGTCTCGGCGCCGCCGCCGGCTGGCGCGCGCTCTACTCACTGCCTTCCGACACGTAGACGAAGATGTGTGCGGGCTCGGTGTTGGCAGCGCAGCACGTGTAGTTGCCCGAGTGCTGCGGGCCCGCCGAGCGGATGGCCAGCGCCGACTGCGTCTTGGGCCCCGGCTCCGTGAGCACGGTGACGCCGCGTGCTGCGTCGTAGTTGATCATGCGCGCGTTGTGGTACCAGAACACGTACTGCGGCGGCACCGGGCTCTGTGCACACACGACCAGACGACTTGTAATAGTTTGCCCGGGGACAGAAATTGCTGGCAATGCGCGAGTATACCTTCTCAATGATGCAGACCAGGTTGATGGTGGAGCCGGCGTCCACGTGGTGCTCGTCGGCGCCGAGGATGAAAGCCTCCGGCACCGCAATATGCAAGTGTACAAGCCGCGACAGCGTGCCGCCGCCCGTCGATACCTGCAACGATACGTCACCAACTGGCCACTAACACTATTTGTGTCAACTGACAGTTCACGCACAAACACAATCGATTAAACAAATCAACGGATGACGTCACAAAAAGCCTACATCGCACATGTGAAGTTTACATGCGAATTAACATCGATAGAAACCAACGAACAACTGTTGCGGACGCCGCGTGAGACTCCCGCCCGCCCGCAGGCAGGTCGGTAGAGTCTCCGCCCCCACCGGACACGACCATGCCCCGCCAACAGCTTGCTGCTCGCTGGGCTTGCCCGGCGAGAGCGCGGCTCATGGCGGGGCAAACCACCGGACTCGACACCGCATCGGGCCCCGCAAGGAGCCCGACTAATCCAACCCCTCGCCTGCTGTTGCAGGCAGCGAGTGCAACCGCCGAAACAGGCATCGGCCTGGATCGCGCGATCTCGCGCCACCAGCCGGGGACGCAGAGAAGACCCGACGACAACTGGTGCGCAGAAAGCCCGACACGATCACCTGACACCTCACCTGGTCGGAAGATCTTCCTTTCCGACCTTAGGGAACTATAACTCTCTATTCCTTAAACATTCTATAGATCTAATGTACAAGTCACATTTTGATGCGGCGCCACCATCGCGTTCATATCTGCTCCGTGTTTATAAATATATTAAAAATAGTTAGTGGGCTAATTTCGTAAATATTATTAGCTTAAAGTTTTAACTGATAGCAAACAAAGTGATGTGATTGTGGACACTGAACAAGTTATCGTAATAGAGGAGATATTCCAAATTATATGTGATCCAAATCTGATCAACACTCAAACCAACAATATCCCAGCCAAAATTTTGAATAACCGTTTGTATGATTCCAGATACCGAACACTGTGCTAACTATACATATAGTTCTTGTGTGAGAGAGCATCCATCCATCGTTGTACGAGATTAGCAAAGAAGGATCCAAAGAACACAAGACCGAGGTCTATCTTGGTCAAATTCAACACCTCACGTACCCGTGACACTTTTTTGGCAGCCGCAATTCAATACAACAAAAGTAACCCTAAGAACAAACTGAACACGACCCATCTAAACTTAGCATTAGAAGCGGAAAATAATGCACTTCATGCGGCTACACGTGAGCGTGCAAAGGAGTTGGGGTATAAGTTTGTGTGAGTTCGTGACGGAAAAGTGTTTGCAAAGAAAGATGAAAATTCTCAAAGTGTGTTTGTAAATTGCTTAGAAAAACTGAAATCATTGGCATACACTATTTTCAATCGTACATGCTATTTGTTTTTAAAATTGTAAAATTCAACCTACCAAAATGTTATTATCAAAATACTAGAGGTTTACGTGGTACCTTGTCTGAGGTGCGTCAACATATAGGTAACCGTGAATACGATATTTATATTCTAACCGAAACTTGGCTTTGCAATGGTATTTTTGACTCGGAATTATTTGGCGATGGTTATACCGTATATAGAAGAGATCGTGAGCCTTCTGCTTTTAATTGTCACACAAAAAATGGGGGAGGCGTACTGGTTGCTGTTTCGAACGCGTTATCTTCATGTCGATTGACAGAATCGGAGAGCGAATGCGAGGACTTGTGGGTTAGAATAGAAGCCCAACCGGACGAGGGTAAATGCTCCCTAATATTGTGTGCTGTGTATTTGCCTCCTCCGGTACGTGTGGAACATCTGGAACATTTTTTCGAGAACTGTAATAGTGTTTTAATGTCTAATAATGGTGCCCGAATTTTCTTCTTCAATTTGAGTGATATTTGTTGGACTTCGAACGATACCAGTGAGTCGTGTATAGCCGCTAGGAACGGCGGTAGTCGCCTCGCTGATTCCTTGCTAGATTTCATGGCATTGAACAATTTGAAACAATTTAATCATATTAGAAATTTTCAGGATAAAACTCTTGATTTAATTTTGTCTGATATTGACCAAATGGATGTTAGCATGTGTTTGGATCCCATCAGAGAGACTGACAAGTATCATCCAGCAGTAGATTTTGTTCCGCGTTTGTCTGTGAGGTTCGCTTATAAACCTAAAGCGATGGAAAAACTGAATTTCTATAAAGCCGATTATGAAAGTATTGTCAAAGCACTTGATGGTGTCAATTGGTGCACTGAGTTCAAATTGTGTGTCGATGTAGACACTATGCTTGACAGATTTTACGATATAGTCAGAGACGTTATCAAGAAACATGTGCCTCTAATTAGGAGTTATTCTGGAAAATATCCACCATGGTACTCCTACCCACTTAGAAAGTTGCTGAGACGTAAGCTAAAATATCACAGTAGAATTAAAAGATATAATAACCCGTTAGACATTATTGAATTCAATTATTTGCGAAAAGAAAGTAACTTACTTATTAAGAAATGTTACAGCACTTATATCGAATCCGTAGAGAGATCAATAAAGTATCATCCTAGGTTCTTTTGGACATATGTAAAAAAATTACGTAAGTGTGAGTCTTCCTACCCTTCCAGAATGTTTTTTAATGATGTTGAGGCCACTAACGCTAAAGACATTTCTAACCCCTTTGCCAAACAATTTGCTTCTGTTTATGCTCCTACCGATAATAGTCCTTGCACAGTCTCTGACAGTTATTCGTCAAGGGCAACGTTGAGGAATCCTGATATTGACAATTTTAGGATATCCCAAGAGACCGTACGTAAAAGCTTGTCCGCGCTTGACTTAACAAAGGGTTCTGGACCTGATGGTATACCTCCAGTTTTCTGGTTGCGTTGTGCGCATTGTCTGTCGTTTCCTATATCTTCTATCTACAATACTTCTCTGGAAACTGGTTCGTTCCCTGACAGATGGAAACATGCTAGGATAGTTCCCATATTTAAAAGTGGCCGGAAGGAGATTGCCTCTAACTATCGCCCTATTTCGATTCTCTCGACTCTGTCTAAGGTCTTTGAGAAACTTCTGTACCCGATTTTTTATGATCACGTAAAAAAGTATTTATCTGGGAACCAGCATGGCTTCATCAATAGAAAATCAACTAACACTAATCTAGTCAGTTACATATCTGATTTATCCACGGCTGTTGATCAAGGTATGCAAGTAGATGCAATATATACTGACTTTTCTAAGGCTTTCGATAGGGTTAATCATGGGGTACTAATTGGAAAATTGCAGATCCTAGGCATCATAAATACTATGTTGGATTGGTGTAAATCTTAGCTTGATTCTAGGTCATCTTCAGTTGTTTTGGGTGGTGATGAGTCCACTTCATTCTATGCTACATCTGGTGTACCACAAGGATCTAATCTGGGGCCTCCTTTTTTAATATCTTTATTAACGATATATCCGACATTTTTCGTTTCTCCACTCCCTGTCTCTTTGCTGACGATTTAAAGTTGATCCGAGTGATTCAAGGCGAAAATGATATCATGCTGCTACAAAAAGATATTGATAGTTTGAGCGGATGGTGTCATACGAATAAAATGCAACTCAACTGCGCCAAGTGCTACCACATAAAATTTACACGTAAGAAAAATATATTTCAGTCTTTCTACACTATTCAAGGCAATAAATTGACGGAACTTACTGTCATCCGGGATTTGGGCGTTCAACTGGATAGTCAACTATGTTTCAACCAACATATTGACACAATGATTTCCGCTGCTTATCGGGCTCTTGGATTTATCCTACGTTCTTCTAAAGAGTTCAAGAAACCCGAAACTATGATACTGCTTTACAATAGTTACGTAAAGAGCCGACTAGAGTACTGTAGTACAGCTTAGAATCCCATGTATCGCGTTCACATAGACAGAATCGAATACGTACAAAAGAGATTTATCAATCATTTGGCAAACCGGTTTAAGGTTAAGTACACCTTGAAGTCATATAAAAAAAGACTCAAGCACTTTAAACTTATGACTCTTGAGTCACGTCGTACCATCTCAGATCTGCTTTTCCTCTATAAACTGCTGAATAACCGTATTGACTGTCCGGAACTTTTAAGCAAAGTTAAATTTGATGCACGGTTAGTGCGGTGGCTGGGCAACCGGCTGCCGTGCAACGTGTCGCGGGTTCGATTCCCGCACGGGACAACACTTTGTGTGATCCACAAATTGTTGTTTCGGGTCTGGGTGTCTTTGTGTATGTGAACTTGTATGTTTGTAAACGCACCCACGACACAGGAGAAAATCCTAGTGTGGGGTAAAGTTTTTTTAAAAAAAAAAAAAAAAAAAAAAATTCACGTGCCTAGCAGGATCCCACGCAGGGCCAAGCCATTACTGCATACGCCGAGAGTTCGGACTAACTTAGGTAAACATTCACCAATAGCTAGACTTACTTTGCAGTATAACAGTATGTCGGAAACGTGTGATGATATCGATATCTTGCACAACACTTTTCGTAAGTTTAGGAATGTTGTTGCGCGTAGTTTGGAGTCCTGAATGTTGACGCATCCACCATAAACAAACAACCATGAATGTACATTTGATTGTCTCACTTCTCTTATTTCTCTTATTTTATTAGATTATTTTTGAAATATGATTATTGATTATTTAATTAATTGATTTTTATTATTATTGTTTTGATTCATCATCATCATCATCAACAGCCTATAAATGCCCACTGCTGAGCAAAGCCTCTTCTCACATGGAGAAGGTTAGAGCATTAATCACCACGCTTGCTCAATGCGGGTTGGCGATTTCAAACTTATAATTAGAAATTATAAGTTCGGGTTTCCTCACGATGTTTTTCCTTCACCGTTTGTCAGTGGTGTCTAAATAATCTTAGAAAGTACATATAACTCGGAAAAAGTCACATTGGTACTTGCCGTTGGTAGGTTTCGAACCCGCACCCTCATGCATGAGAAGTGGGCGCCTTAAACCTCCGGGCCACCACGACTTATTGTTTTGATTATTTAGTATTATTATTTTAAACTTGACCATGTCAATTGATTATTTCCGACATTTGATTAATAATAATAATAAATAATAATAAAATGTTTATTTTTCAAAAGGAAAAGTTTTACAATTTAGTTGTATCCTGGACACAACTAAATTGTAAAACTTTCACACTAGGATTCCCTGTGTCGTGAGGCCCAGGCTTCCTAACAAACAGTACAAAAAGAAAAGTTATCATAATCTATACATATAATAAAATTGTAGAAAAGTGCTGTCTGTACATTGAAAATAAAAATAAAAAAAATAGCAGGGGTTATTGTTATGTCGATGTCGAACCCAAAAATGTAATTAACTTTTTTTTTGTCTGTTTGTCTGTTCACGCTAATCTCAGAAACGGCTGATCCGAGTTGGATGCGCTTATATACTAAAATTCTACGGAACTTGAGGTATAACTTAGTTTTTGTTTCATCGAAATCGGTTCACTCTATCAGAAGATATGAGTAATTTAGTGAGTTCAAGAAGTAAAATATTACAACGCGCAATTCAGTATAGTACTCGAAACGACACCTTTGGAAAATTGGCTTCGTTTGGTCATTGGTTTGAAGTCCGTAGTAAAGATACTACAAGTAGAATAGGCTATAGGTATTTTGAAATCTGGCCTTTACGGTCGCCTTTTTTTTTTGAGGGGGGAAATCATCCGTTGACTTCTCCCGCCCAAGTGAGGCGAAAGGGAGTGTCAGACTCTTACTGACTAAAAACCACTCCGTTCCTACTCCTGCACTTCGAGCCGGAGCCCCGGCAAACCGTTAAGTCTTCCGCTGCTCTTTATTGGCATCACTCCTGTTGGGCCCCATTTGTGGTGGTCTGATGGCTCTTTGAGGCGTGCGCGGAACGCGACGCGCCGCACGCTTAGGCCTGGTTCTGGTCGCGCGGCGAGTCACCCGTGCTCGCCGTCAGCAGGCCCGTGCTTACGGTGGCCGGAGATCGTCTCGCGATCCCCGAAGGCCCGGAGTGTCTTTCGCGACGGCTGGGGCGTCAGGTGGTTAGTTACCTCATGCGCTCTGCCTCCTCCTTAGCTAGCATGACTGCTTCGCAGAAGGAGGAGACGGCATCCCAGTCCCTCTCGCTCGGTACCATGGTCTGAACCAGAGCCGAACGCGAGAGGTCGCCGTCGCCGATCACACCCCTGAGGACACGGCGGTGCTCAGCCCACGCAGGGCACACCGCCACCGCATGCTCCACCGTGTCTCCCGGGCGATCCTCACAGTGATAACACCCGGGCGTTTCCTCCCGCCCAATCCGAAACAGGAACCTACCGAAACTTCCGTGTCCGGTAAGCACCTGCGTCAGGCGGTAGGTTTTTTTTTTTTTTAAGGGGGGAAAATCATCGAATGACTGCTCCCGCCTGGGTGAGGCGGAAGGGAGTGTCAGACTCTTACTGACTATAAACCACCCCGTGCCTTCTCCTGCACGTCGAGCCGGAGCCCCGGTTACCCGTTAGGTTCTCCGCGACTCCGAATCGGCATCGGCCCTATTGAGCCCCATCTGTGGTGGTCTGATGGCTCTTTGAGGCGCGCGCGGAACGCGACGCGCCGTACGCTCGGGTCTGTTTCTGGTCGGACGGGGAGCCACCCATGCTCGCCGTCCGCAGGCCCGCGCTTACGGTGGCCGAAGATCGTCCCGCGATCCCCGACGCCCGGTGTGTCCTTCGCGATGGCTGGGTTGCGAGGAGGCAGCGCTTCGCTGCCTCACGCGTCCCGCCTCTTCCTTAGCTAGCATGACTGCTTCGCAAAAGGAGGAGACGGCATCCCAGTCCCCCTCGCTCCGCATCATGGCCTGCACTAGGCCCGGACGCGAAAGGTCGCCATCGCCGATCACTTTCCTGAGGGCACGGCGGTGCTCAGCCCACGCAGGGCATTCCGCTACGTTGTGTTCCACCGTGTCCTCAGGGCGGTCCTCGCAGTGATGACACCCGGGCGTTTCCTCCCGCCCCATCAGACACAGGTACCTCCCGAAACTTCCATGTCCGGTGAGGACCTGCGTCAGGCGGTAGGTGAGGACGCCGTAGCGTCTCTCAAGCCACTCCTCAAAGAGGGGTCTTACCGCTGCAATGGCAGCGAGCCCAGTCAGGCGGTAGGTAAGTAACGACGCCGTAGCGTCTCTCAAGCCACTCCTACAGCGGACCTTTACGGTCCCCTTAAGTTTAAAACGTCGTACGAACGACCTTTTTGATGTATTTGAACGAAACCTACCAAAATCAGTCCAGTATACAAGTAATTGTAGTTGTAGTGTGTTGCTTTTTCTAATCACTGTATTTACAATAATTAAGTAGTTTTTTTTTTCTATTTTTATATACTGTCATTTATTTTTTGTTTTGGTGCAGAAATAGCAGTTGCTACAAATTTCGACTACCAAGTTGCGATCTCCGTTCAGTAATATCACTACGGAAAAAAGCTTTAATATTAATTCAAAATTAACATTATTACGCTATAAACTTCTGAATGCACGTAGAAATAAAGAACAAATTTGTATCACCGAGTGTATTCGGGAAGGGTCGTGATCGGTCGGGTAAATTCGTAATTCTCCGCGTGAGTGGCAAGCGCGAGGCAAGCTGCATTATGATTATGAACTACCACACTGAGTATTAGTGAGTATGGCGTCAGACCCGGTCAATAGGGCCGTACTGTCAGTTCTGTCACAGTCTATACAGTCGTCCAACGAAGACGTCTAGACAGGATAATCGTTCGGGGTGTAAAGGGCGAGACGCGGGTAGGCCGATCCCGAGCTACGAACAAAACGATGTTAGTAGCTCGGGATACATTATTATTCAGGGTTAACGCGTGTTTGTTTTTTTACCGACTTCAAAAAAAGGAGGAGGCACTATGTTCGAATGATTTTTTTTTATGTATGTTTGCCGTTGCATGTAATTTTTAATTTATCGTCATGGGTGTCGTTTACATGGTTTTCGAGGGTAGTAAAACCGATGGTGCTGTCAAAATGTAAATCCAAGATGGCGGCTGCACGAAATTTTTAATTTATCGTCATGGGTATCGTTTTCATGGTTTTCGAGAGTGGTAAAAATGATGGTGTTGTCATAACGCCAATCCAAGATGTCCGCTGCCCGAAATTTTTAATTTATTATCATGGGTATCGTTTTCACGGTTTTTGAGGGCGGTGAAAATGATGGCGCTGTCAGAATTTAAATCCAAGATGGCGGCTGCATGAAATTTTCAATTTACCGTCATTGGTGTCGTTTTCACGTAACTACATTGTGTTTGGGTTTATTTAAACTGTATTGATTAGAACTTTGCACGTACGTTGATTATAAGTGATAAAAAAATGCGTTTAAAAAAAAACTAAAAACAAATATAAAGTAAAAACTAAAAAGCAAAAATATAACCATATTGGTACTGATGAGTTACTCACCCACTGACCGACTTTTAGTCGGTGCCATAAGCTCATATTTTTGACAACCCTGGCCGATTCGTTTCTGTCTAGACTCTAGACGATGTCGGCATTTTACACGAGATCAAAGGTCATGAATACAAACGGAACGAATAGGGACCGGGTTTCTGCTTATATACCCAGTATGGTATCTCTAAGGTTACTGGTAAGCTCAAACTAGGTATTTATACCTGTACCAGTAAATACGTATCATCCCTAAAGTACAAGTATTTACTTCTGAGTTTGAATAGTGCCAATCATTACAGTGAGTGTAACAAATTCGTTAAGTCGTGACCACGAACAGACGATTTACTATCATACGAGACTGTTTGACGCACTGATCTTTAAAATTTTGTCGGTTTTTGTATATTGCTTCGATATTTTCGATATTTTATTGGCTAAAAAAATACTATACCATCTTCTTGAGTGGAGTTCATATGTATATAGCCCACTGTTATCTAAACGATGTTGTTTTGTTTTCGACAACCACGCGAACGAAGTCGCGGGCACAGCTAGTGCTTAAATATAAATGTGTATTTTATGTGTGTGTATGAATATGTGTGGATGTAAGTGAGTGAGTAGGTAAAAGTGTGTGTTGTGCGTGTGTGTGTGTGCGATTGTTTTGTCTGATTGTGTATTTTTTGACGTGTGCCATATTTTTGACATTTTGTATTGTTTTTAGTCACAGTTGTTTTGTTCTTAGCGTTTAGTTTAATTTAATTTTAACTTTTAATTATTTGTATTGCCAGTTTTATGTATATTTTTATGATTTTTTGCATGTTGTGGCCTCCTATGATTGAGGAAGCACATAGCTTTTAATTTTTGTAATGCTACTCGTGTGTGCTAAGTGTATTCCTTGTTGGAGACCCTAATTCAATATATAAATAAATAAGTCACACGACATTAACTACACTTATGAAGAAATCGCAGCCTTGGCACGACTTCGTCTGGATTTCATTACTTTTTAGAGATGAACAAGCGGCTTCATCGAGACTTTACTAGTTGGTTTACAAAAAATGTTTGCACGTATACCTAGGTACTTACTACGACCAATTGTAGGTATTATTTAAGCGCGGCCACGATGCCGCGTACGTGGACTAAGGGGGACGAATGGGAATAAAAATGAAGCCCCACGCATTCCGTACCCACCTGGCACTCGTAGGTACCGTTGTCTCTCTTCTGCACGTACTTAATCTGCAGGATCCAGTCATCGGAGCCCTCGCTATGCAGCACCTGAAACATGCGCACATGTGTAGTACCGGACTGACACCCATGGGAGGGCTGTGGTGACGGAGCGCTGTACCTGGAAGCGTTCATCGTTAGTGTACATGAGCATCCCGGAGCTGATGATGTGCCAGTCGCGGCGGCGCACCCACGACACCTGCACACAAGAGTCGGTTAATGGCGCGGCCGGCAGCAGCGCGGCGGTAAGCTCTGCAGGGGTACTGACGCCGCGCTCGCCGAGGTTGCGCACTGGACAGTGCAGGAAGGCGACCGCGCCGAGCTGCACGAGCACGTCCTCCTGCGTGTTGTTGATGCTGGGCTCGCGGTGCAGCGCCTCCAGCGAGCCGTACCAGAGCTCGCGCCACGCCGGCACCTCCGCCACCTCGGCCAGCTCCAGCGCGTCGGGCGCGTCGGGCGCGTCGGGCGCGCGCGTGGCCGGCGGCCCGGCGGCGGCGGCGAGCGCGGCCAGCAGCGCCACGCATGCGCGCGCCATCCACGCTGCTGCACTGCCGCGCCGCTCTACATGTCGCCGCTGCTGACTGCGCCCGCTTCTGACCCGGCTTGCAATCTGCAACACAATTGGGTACACACCTCAGTCAAACATTATTTCACATTCCTCGTTGGAGTATCCACGTGTAAAAACCGTTTTAAAACTAGATTTCATTACTTGATGGTAAGAAGATCTAAACGCTTCTGATATAATATATTAGTTATTAGATCTTTATGGGATTGCCGTTCTGCAATACTGGCCATAAAAATTGGCTGGCTAAAATATTTTTTGTTTGGAATGCCCTAAACAAAAACTTACCCCTGGGAAAGTTATGGTCACTGTTTGGTGGCCTAGCGCCGGTGTGATTCATCACAGCTTCTTACCAAACATACAAATGCAATACCCGAGAGGCAGTACAAAATGCCTTTCAAGTAGCGACCTTGTGTAACTTGGGTTTGATAATTTGTATTGATGAGGACGTTACACCTAGATGGGGGGGGGGGGGTGATGGTTATTAAAGGTCCAATGATGAATTAGTATGATAGCTAAGGGACTTCTCAATGGTTAAGAGTACCCACCCGGTGTTTGAACTTGAATAATTTGTATTGATGAAAACTTTGCATCTATGTGGGTTGTGTATAATATAATATATCAAAGTACTAAACTAAAAAGTATAAAATAAAATTAAAAAACTGCGTTTAAAAACACCGACTTCAAAAACTAATGACAAACGAAAAGTACTTATAAAGTACAACAAAATATAAAGTAGTTAATGGGCACAGCTGGTATAACGCATAATAAAATTGTAAACAGCTTAATAATGTTAGGTACCTATCTATTAAGGTTTTAATGAATAATTTTATTTAAAACTTGTGGCACCGACTTCTAACCTATCAGTGGGTGTGTAAGCTATAAGTACGTATGACCAATAATAGTTACCTATTTATTTCCTTTTTAGTTTTTACTTTTTGTAGTTGTTAGATTAACACAACTGTTTTCCATTTTGGCGCGGAGTTTGAGCTGCATCTGTTATTTATATTAAATACAGTGCTGGTTTTAGTAATAGATATCATCTGTATATAGTGTGTATTGCGAATTTTATAATGGACAAAAATATCGAACAAAGAGTTTGTCTAAAATTTTGCATCGCCAATGGAATTTCGTGTTCGGAGTCACTGAAAATGTTACAGAAGGCTTACGGTGGATCGACTTTATCAAAAACTCGTGCTTATGAGCGGTTCAAAGCGTCGATACGTACCATTTTAACTAATCATTTGGGTATGAAATATGTTGCTGCTCGGCTAGTCTCAAAAGATCTGAATTTTCTCCAAAAACTCAATCGCATGAAAGTCGCTGAAGACATGCTAGAACGAGTCAGTTCGGACCCAACATTTATGAAACGCATTGTTACTGGTGACGAGACGTGGGTTTACGAGTTTGATATGCAAACTAGTCAACAAACAGTCATGTTGACTGTTTTCTTTGACTCTCGCGGTGTTGTGCACTCTGAATTCTTACCGAAAGGTCTAACGGTAAATAAAGAATATTAAGTATTTGAGCGTTATGCGGCGTTTAAGAGAGCAAATTCGACGAAAAAGACCAGATTTGTGGAAAGACAATTCTTGGATTTTGCACCACGACAATGCGCCTTCGCACAAGGAATCATTGAAGGAATCATTGAAGTCAAGAAACATTAAAATCAAAACTTCCATTACATCTTAAGAAAAAAGTCATGGACTCATGTATACTACCATGCCTGACATACGGAGCACAGACCTGGATCTACAACAAAAATACGTACATGCCAGCGCTCTATGGAGAGAAGTATCTATCTATGTATACATAAGTATATTAAAATCGTAAAGTCATAACTGTACATTTATAATATTTTTTAAAAGAATCCGTGGTGCGCGATTTACAGTCGATACCGAAGCCAAATATATGGTTTCTGGAATTGTTGTCTGTTTGTCTGTATATAGGCTACATAATATCACGCTATCATCTACGGGGGAGGAGAGCTATACTAGGTAGGTACTTAATCAATTCTGACGACATTTGTTACCGTAGAATATCCTTTCATAAAGACTAATTCAAAAGCATAAATTCTGCCAGGAGTCATTATTCTACGCGGACTTAGTCGCGGGCAACAGTTAGTCTAAAATAAATTCTGAACTCGTTTAATGATTGATGTCATACGGTGCTGGAAGTGTGCAGGTGCAGGGGCAGTTAGTTCGTGCTGCCGGTGTGCCGGCCGACTACTGGACCGACTCCTGGGCGGTTGGAGAGTTCTACCCGTACGTAGCAGTTACAGGGCGCTGAGAGTGCCTCCAGGATCTCGGCCGGCGCGCGGCGCTTCAAGTGCCCAAAGTTAGTTTCGAACTAAATTCTCAGTAACTAGTACGATACTGCGCCCTGTCTATGGGTATTGTAATGAATTAAATAAAAGTGACGATTAAACTTGGTGTTATTGATGTTTTGTAACTCGCCTGTCTTAGCAGAAGGGGTATGTCGTTTTTATTCTGTTGCTTAAGGGTTAGCAGTGCAGCTGACGGTTGTTATAAACTGAATACTTGTAGACCACGGTTTGGTCCTGGCCGTCCTGGCAGCACACACACACACTGGCACGCACTGCAAGCACACACGCACGCGCGACACGACGCACAACGGCCGAGCGCGACGGAGGCCGCGCGGCGACTGGACGCGGGAGGCGCGCGGCGCGCGACCTCCGCCGCAGTACAGGAGCTGTGTTCTCCGGGCTCTCCCTTATCTGATACTAACTTTTACAAGCGCGGCTTCAGCCGCGATTTCGGAAATAAAGATATGTTTTATTTCAGAAGTCAGTTAAAAATGGTTAATATTAACACAGAATTAATGTATGGTATACATCAAAATACATGTAGTTCCTTGTCTGTAACAGTCTGAGGCAGTAGCCTCTTCTTACCCAGGGTGCGGGCAGAAGGAGTCATTTAATGATTCCCCTTCCAAAGAAAAGCGAAAAATGGAATATTTTAAAGTGCATGTAGTTACGTCACATGATTTTATAAATTAGTCAATAACAACATTACATGTTTAAATAAATAATGGAGAATATACTTATTTTACAAAGCTGGAGAGTTTGTTTGTTTGTTTAAACGCGCTAATGCCAGGAACTGCTGATCCGAATGAAAAATTATTTTGTGTTGTAAGTATAAGTAGTCCATTTATGGAGAAAGACTATAGGCTGTAAAGCATCACGCTACAATCAATTGGCGCCGAACAGAGCGGGTGAACCCGCGCGGACGCATAAGAAGCTAGTAGGTATGTATTGCATAACAATAAGTATTGTAGTTAACAATAAGTATAACAATAAGTATTGTGTGTCACATTTTGGATGACATGTAAAAGTTTTTAGTGTTCATTTGAACTAGATTTACTTATTTTCTCTGTAGTTATAAATGTGACAATGTAATATTTATTTTAATTTCATACGAAATAAAAGCATGAAATATTTTTTCAATTGTTTAATAGTGGAAAACCGTCCAACGTCTCCTCTCGCCTTGGTTGGTGGTGATTGAGGCGAGAGGGAGTGTCAGAATCTTACTGTCTAAACAGTAAATCGGACCCCATTCCTACTGCTGCTTCGACCCGGTGCCCGGCAACTTGGTAAGTCCTCCGTATCCGAAGCAAGGGTAGGTTGCTACCCTTGCTCGCTGTCCGCAGACCCGTGCATATTACAATATTAAAAAATGTTGTAATTAAATTGTTCTGAAATGACCAGAAAATGGTAGCGAGCTCCTGGTGTAGGGAGCACTCTTATCGACTGTAACGCTGAAGAGCAGCGGCGCGGCGCGGGGCGAGAGCACAGGGCGAGAGTGTAAGGGCGCGGGCGCGAGAGCGGGGGCACGGGGGAGGGGGGGCGCGGCGGGCGGCGCGCGTGACGTCACGCGGCAGTCGAGTCGCGTGCCAGTGCGGTGCCGCCCGCTGCGACTGTAGAGCGCAGCAAGCGCGGCGCCACACGACCGCGACACCACGATTTAATATTTACAGCTTTTATTCCAACTACTTACTATGATTTTGCTGACATCTTATGGACCGTTCTTAGTTAATCATTAAAGTTTGTTTTGTTCAAACATACTGCATTACGCCAGCATGGCTTTGTTAGACATGACCTCCTGGCTCAGTAGAGCACATTTCTTGGACGATAAAAAGTTGGTAATGAATTGTTTTGGTTGCGAGAGTACAGTGCGACCCCACGTGCGCCTCTGAGCGGCGGATCCTGGTCGCCAGGATCGGGCGAGACCTGTCTCTGCCCGCAATAATTAAGGCTGTGCTGGCAGATACAGGAAATTGGGAAAAGTGGTCTCCTTTTGTGAGACGGTACTGTCCTAATGAGAGGCTGCTGAGCGGGATCGTGAGAGGGTCGATCCGGCTCGTAGTAATTGCGGAGGTTACTGTCTTGGCGCCTAACCCGCCGATATCATGCCTGCATTACCTTGTGGCGACACATGCCACATGTCAACGGATGACGTCACAAGAATCCTACATCGCACATGCAAAGTTTACCAGCGAATAAACACGGATAGAAAATCCCAACGAACAACTGTTGGGCAGAAAGCCCGCCAGGCACGATCACCTCGCCTGGTCGGAGGATCCTCCTTTTCCGATCTTAGGGAACTATACTCTCTGTTCCCTAAAGTGGTGACCCCGACGTGATTGGAAACAACCTTCACTTCACGGAGCAGATTAGCACCGTCATCCGTATCGCCATCCCTCTCATTCATCACTTCTCCGCTGAGCGGTAATCAAGTCGCAGCCAACCAGCATCCTCGGCCTCATCAGGGACCACCATTACCTGCAACGAAGTTGTGCAGCCTGGTTCTTCCCTACGGCCTCACCAGCGTCTAGGCACAGCACTTCTGCACACGGTCTGAAGGACACCTCCTCCCGTCAACGCAGATGCCGGCCACTACGCACCTACCCTCGCAGCATCTCTTCCCCGACTCACCGTGGGACACTGCGAGCTCATCTCTCCGACTCACTGGAGTTTAACCCTGCACCGCTCACCCGACTCACTGGGCACTCAGCGGCACAGTTCCGACTCACTGGAACTAGGGACGTTCTACACTGGCTCTGGCACCGCTCATCTCCAGCATCGACAGTCGTCTCAGCGGGATCGACCTCCGGTCTTGGGAGGGAGTGATGTGGCGACACATGCCACATGTCAACGGATGACGTCACAAGAATCCTACATCGCACATGCAAAGTTTACCAGCGAATAAACACGGATAGAAAATCCCAACGAACAACTGTTGGGCAGAAAGCCCGCCAGGCACGATCACCTCGCCTGGTCGGAGGATCCTCCTTTTCCGATCTTAGGGAACTATACTCTCTGTTCCCTAAAACCTACAGGCAGACCTTCGGAGTCACGAGCGCTCAGAGAGAGGATTCTGTTTCTGAGTGCCCGTGACCCCGAGGCATCCATCCAGTGACCTCAGGGAAGACGACGGCACAGTGGTCACGTGCACAGCGAGGCTTAAGGCAGACACTCGTCTCCCTAGGGATGTGGCGTTACACCATGGGGGTTCCGGAGCAGATCTATTATAGAGGACTCGGTGCCCCCTATAAGTGAGGATGGTGGCGGTGCTGATTTTAGTGAGGTAGGAATCCCATTCTCCCTGGCTTTTTTCCCCAAAAAAGCTAGGCGCCTCTTGAAAATCTCCTGCCATTATAAAAAAAGGTGGTACAGCGCGACCGGTACACAGTACTCGTTGCGAGTTACGCGCTTCAATCGAGCTACGACTTACGCACTACGAGCTACGTACCATGTGCTACGAGCTACGCTCCATGTGCTACGAGCTACGCTCCATGTGCTACGACTACGAACTATGCACGACTTGCACGAGTGACGAGCTACTCACCAAGTGCTACGAATCGCTACGAGTTACGCTCTACGCGCTACGAGCCACGATGCCGGAGGTGTTTTTTTTTTTTTTAAGGGGGGAAAATCATCGAATGACTGCTCCCGCCTGGGTGAGGCGGAAGGGAGTGTCAGACTCTTACTGACTAAAAACCACCCCGTTCCTTCTCCTGCACGTCGAGCCGGAGCCCCGGTTACCCGTTAGGTAGCCACGATGCCGGAGGTGTAGATCTCTGTCGCTCGTAGCTATGATGTTTGTGGCAGCTTCTTGCGCGTGCCGTGCGGCGTGGAGTAGAACAGCAAGCAGAATGGATTGTTTACTGATATTTAAGTGGTCACAAAGCTGTTTTTAACCGACTTAATACAGGTACCTTCCCCTACCTTCTTAAGCGCTCCGATGTTACCCCTGTGTATAAGAATGGAGACGACGTGAACCATTATCGGCCAATTTCTGTATTGACCTCCATTTCCAAAATCATTGAGAAGCTCTTGAACTGTAGAATAGTTAAGTACCTAACCAAGTATAGCGTATTATCTTCCTCTCAATATGGCTTTAGAAGTCGGAAGATGGAATATCGGCCCAGGACGCTACGGAACAACTTGCTTAGGAAGTAGATAGGGGGAACAATTGCCTAGTGGTCTTTTTCGACCTTAAGAAGGCCATTGATACCGTCTCTATCACTAAACTTGTACACAGGCTGGAGAACTTAGGATTTCGAGGTTCTGCTGTCTCTCTCCTCAGCAGTTACCTACAAAACAGAAAATAGGGGGGTAAAAATTTTAAACCATTTTAGTGATGAGGAGAACGTGACCTTTGGCGCCCACAGGGCAGTGTCCTCGGCCCGACCCTCTTTCTGATTAATATTAACGAACTCTGTTACCTTAGTACCAACGAGGCGAGGATACTGTCCTACGCGAATGATACCGCTATTATCTTCTCTGCTAAAACCTTGGACAAGGTTATGAGGACATTGTAGCCCCTACATACTCAGCACGTTCAATATTTGCTAGTCGTCAGAATGTATCTCAAGCCTCTATGCAGTTGTATGATTGTAAGAAGACAATGACGGAATGGCTCTTCACACTTGATTATGACGCGGTGGGGGGCATTCTGGCGGCTCCGGCCGGGTTGAACGTCGTGCATACAGACACACACACACAGACGCGCGCGCGCTCGCGCAAAATAATACACTGAAACACTTACAAACACGCGTAAAACATACATTTACCTACACCTACATAACATACATTCTAGTTTTTACACACAGCCATTAACACTGTGAATTAATTTGAAAAGAATAATTGTAATAACCAGAACTCTTGATGTGCACCACAATCATGTCGTTATACAAGACGTTTACTGCGGACAAAGATAGGCCTCTCCCAGTCGCCCAATGACTAGATCAACAATAGGGTAGACGACTAATTTTTATTTTAATGTCCGTCTGGTAGATTATTTAAAAACATTAGACACGTATTTTTTATTTTCTCACAGAAACAAATAGTTTCGAAGATATATTGATTTGAAATGTCGCGTGACGTCACTTCTCAGTACATTTTATACTAAGAAATTACGTTTTAACCCCCACTCCTAAACTTTGATTCGTTTTATCTAAGTATTGTTTTGTTATACGACAAAATAAAAAAATACGTGTCTAATATTTTTTCATTACCTAACTTACGGACTAATTATATTTTTAATTTTCATACCCTGTCATCATCCCCATTCTGTGATATTATGCGGTAGGCAATATAATCACGTCTCCCGCGCCGCGTGGAGCGGTGTGCGATACTCAATCATCATACGTCGACCTCGTTATGCTCTAATTCACACCGAAGGTAATGGCATGAAACATGACTAATACACTACGTAACTGTATACCTCCTCTGTCGCAGGTATACCTCTATCATAGTAGGTCTGTAATGTCAAACATGACCCCGCCGGTCGACATTGCCATGGCACCGGTCGCTTCCACATGAAGAGAACCTACTTTGCACCACGTAGCGTATATCAAAAGACTCCTCCCAGCCAGGGTATGGCGGGAGCGAGTGTCAGTCTTACTGACTAACTCTAGAATACTGCGCTTAACCATACCCCCAGCCGAGCAGCGACGGTGACCCGGCCGTGTCATACGTTCGGATCCGGTTCTGGTTAGCCGGCGCGCGGCGGGGTCACCTGGCCGGTAATCGTCACATGATCTCCAACTCATGAAGCGTCTTCTACGGCAGCTGTAGCATGAAAAAATTGCCACATGTATGTACCTCGCTTCTTCCTTATCTAGCATGACTATTCTACAGAAGAAGAGCTTCCAAGCTCTTCTCACGCCGCACTATAGCCTGTAATACAGCATAAATCTAGTGGGGTGATCGATGATGTAGCGATTCGTAGCTGGGCACAAGGCGGCGACAAGAGGAGACGACTCAGCAGTTCGAATGTTGCAATACTCCGTAGAACTTTTGTTGCATTAAAGTAGGTGTAATGCCTGATTTAGCAGATCTGGGCCTGATGACCCGGCGTTGATCACGGTGTAAGTACATGTTTCGGCACCGATACGTAATCTATTTGTCAACATACCCAACATGGTAATAACGACATTTACCTACTAAGTCGCCGACTGAAGCTAGGATTGACAAAAAGTACCTAGGTATTAAATAAAACGACAATGTAAACAAGTCAACACTATAATTATTAAATAATAAACGCGTGGTGACGCGCATTACGCGTCGAGCGTGGGATTTCTTAAAAAAGTGAGATCTTCCTCGAGGCCTTTGTCGAAGAAGCAGTTGGAGGGCGGGCCGGTGTGCGCGGCGAGGCAGCGGTGCTGGCGCAGCAGCAGGTACAGCAGCAGGTTGTACTCCGACGTCGCGTTCTGCACCATCTTCAGCGTCACCTCCAACTGCTCCTGCTGCGCATCCCACGCGCGCAGCCGCTCCACGCTCGCGCCCAGGTACTGGTTCAGCTGCAACGCGACACGACACCTGTCAAGGTCTACCTCGGTCTATCACGGTACAGATACACCGAGGCCCTATCGTAATTACTAGCGGACACCGCGAACTTAGTTCTGCTTTGGATTTTATATTACTTAAGAACCTTCTCCTAACAGTAACAAACCCAACCAACCCAACAATTGACGCAATCTGCTCAGTGCAGAGAGCAGCACATTTAGCGATTCATGTATAGATTATAGGAGATGTAGGTACCGCAGTACGTTACTTGTGTAAAATCCCTAGGTACATTAAGTGAATCGCTGACGTTCGTTAATAGGTAGTATCCCGTAATACCCAAAAAACCAGCTATCTTGTGTTGCGCTGTACGATGTGACCCACCTTTACAATTCTTCTTTCCATCAGCTTCCTCTGTATCCACTCGCATAGGTATGTTAACATTCCTAACGCCAACAAAGAGACTGTGACGAATAGATCAAGCGGCGGCAAGTGAACGAACGCTAGATCGAGCCACCCGAAGGCGGCGGCGGGCGAGTCGAGCTTGTCGGACGCGGCGAGCGGGTCCTCGACGCCGGTGTACAGGTCGGGCACGTAGTACTGCGCCGGCAGCAGCAGCAGCGCCACCACCGCCGTCACCACCAGTCCGCTCGAACAACCGCTGAGTGCCATTCGTAGCCAACATCCGTCCACCACGGTAACTAGAGATCACTGCACAGAATTATCAACATAAAATTGGGCGTACATTTGTGTTTTGTTGTTGCTGACAATTTATTTACAGTTCTGTTATTATTAGTTTCTGACACATTCAAATTTTTTTTCTTCAGAATTTACAGGACATCCGCTTCTATAACTTATATACCTAGTGATGAAATAACTAAACGTATAAGATACTGTCAAGTACAAAATAAAAATTAAGAAGGAACTGGAAAAGCCAACATTCAAACCAAAGAGTACTTATAGTACATTCAGACGTTTGGTACTGTTTGGTACTGTTACTCTTAAGCAACCGAAATCTTTTTTTATAATTGCGAGACATATTATGTTTATCATAAATCGTGGTTTGGCCGTTTGTGCCAAGATAGATGGCTATCACGCCTTGTAAAAAAAGGCAGTAGCGACACGATAAATACTCACAAGTCAAAATAAGTACTTAGACACAGACTGCCTCATTGGCCGAGTGGTCGCAAGTGCGACTGCCGGGCAAGGGGTCTCGGGTTCAATTCCCGGGTCGGGCAAAGTATTACTGGGTTTGGAAAAAACCTCAGTAGTAGCTCGGAGTCTGGAAATGTGCCCGGTATATGGCAATAGGCTCACCCCCTATTACATGGGACTCATAACATTAATAGTGAATAGGTGTTACATTGTAGTGGCATAATGTGCACCTCTGCCTACCCCTTCGGCGATAAAAGGCGTGATGTTATGTTATGTACACAAATTTGTCGTACATCCGCGAGACGTATAATTATCTTTTGTGCAACTTTCAAGGCTCCGTGCGTAGATTTTTTATTGCTATATATATATAGCTATGCTACCAAGGCTACCAAGCCTTCATTGGATTTTTGTTTGATTTTGGGTAATTATTATTATTTCATATTATTTGAAATAGGAAATGTACAATAGCCAGATTAAAATTTATTGTTAAATTTTAATGAAAATAAAGAATTTTCTGCGTCTGATAGTGAAAATATTTCTGATGGCTGGCAATCAGATAATGATGTGTAAAGTAGCGTTTGGTGATTTGCTGTGTTTTAAAACATTTTGCAAAGTAATTACTATCGTGGATGTGAATTCAATACAAAAACTCGATTCAATGTTGACTGACTCGAGTGTGTTCTTTTATAGTAGGTACTTAGGTACATTCCTGAGTTCAAAAAGCTGCTGTAGTTTCCTTAGGAAATATATTGTTTAATTTTAATTATTTTATTTATTATTTATTGCTTATATTTGTGGTAATTTACTTTCATTTTTGTTAATAAGTTTTATAAATCTACAATGCATGCTTTGTACCCACAGAAACGTTATCTACACGCATTATTATGAGTTATAAAAGGTTTCCAAACTCAGCAGATTGATATTCATGAATAAATTAATCGATCTATCTTTAAAAAAAGACTACAATTCGTGGGTTAAGAACTAAAGTAGCGTAAGGGCAAAAATTCAAAAAAATTTTTTTTTCGCCATTCAGTTTTTTAATTCCTATATTTTTATGTGCCAAAAAACTGGAACGATGTAGTGAGTAGATTGCTTAGTACAACAATAACGTATAGAAAAAAAAGTTATTTGTTTATTGCCAAAATGAAGTGTTTCTACTTACAATAATCTTGACACAATTTTGTCAAAAAAATTACGAGCATAACAATCGTAACTCGATTTACAGAGCGAATAGGACACTAAATATGGCGTTAATATAATCGCGCAAATAACGTATATTGTCATACGTTATTATCACAGACAGTTTTATAATGTAGCCTTAGTTTGTATCGTGCTAAATAAACGTAAAGTACCGTTACTGCTTATGGGTCTTTGTTTCGCAAGTTCCTATCATTTTTATTCCTGCCAGAAAAACGTAAGGGTGGGATATGCTGTTACGGCACTAAATAATTAAAATAATACAAGCAGTTTTTATGTCAATAATAACGTAAAAGCTATATACGTTTCTTTAGCACGTAATAAATCGCTTTTGGTCTAATTTACTTTCGCGTCTAATACTACTGTACGTTATTTTGACCCTAAAAACTTTAGGTTAAGATACAGGGGGTGGCTGGTTCTGGTTCACACAATCTTTTTTTTTTAAACGTTGCCCCACGTTAAGATTTTCTCCTGTGTCGTGGGTGCGTTTACAAACATACAAGTTCATATACATTGTATGTACCCAACGACACCCAGACCCGAAACAACAATTTGTGGATCACACAAAGTGTTGTTCCGTGCGGGAATCGAACCTGCGACACGTTGCACGGCAGCCGGTTGCCCAACCACACCGCACCAATCGTGCAGTCATGAAAACAATGAAACTCCGGAAAGTGCTACACAGTACGACAAAGACCACATTAGTTCTTTTCCGCGCATACCAGCACATTAGAAAAGATACCAAAAAAGAGTACCTTGACCAAGACCTTATTGTCACGAAGATTTATGAACGATAATGTTCATAAGTGCAAGGAAGATGAAGATGAGGTAGAATCTGTTAAAATAAACAAGTATCGCGATATTCTAGAAAAAGATTTAAATATTGGCTTACATAAGCTACGGACAGATATGTGCGATGAATGGTTTGCATATGATAATATGAATGATGAAGAGAAATAAGCTAAAAAAAGGGAACAAGAAGCTCATTTACAGGGAAAAGTTCAAGCCCGTGACTCCTCTGGTATTGCAGGCGTCCATGAGCGGCGCTGATCTCTTACCATTAGGTGACCATAAACAAAGCGAGAAGAGATAGACATGAGGCTATGAAACTTGTTCTGGATGATGAAATTTATTTCGCTGATTATAACATGCAAGCTATTTGTCTAATTCCTACCACATTTTTCAAAAAAATATTTTATAAACGAAGGCTGCCTGTATATAAGCTTACAGTGGTCCAGTATCTATATTAGCAATTGAATAAGTACAACGATGTGCTAGAGCTGTGTCGATCTGGAGATGTTCCTTCAACATATCATAATTTTTACAGCCATGCCATTATTCGTGGTCGACCTGCAAGTAGGTCGACCACGAATAATGGCATGCTAAATGAAGAATGTTGCTGCTCAAATTATTTTATAATAACTACTATAACATCTACACTTTACCTATATTCACAATAAATGATTTGAATTTGAATTATTATTTTTAACCGACTTCAAAAAAAGAAGGAAGTTCTCAGTTTACCTTGTATATGTAATATGTATGTATGTATGTATGTTTGTTTGTGCGCGACTATCTTGCGATTGGCTAAACCAATTTTCAGAAAAGTGACACTTCGGAGAAGGTTAGAGTTATATTAATCGACTGCAAAAATAGAGGGGGTTGAAGTCGGTTTTTTAAACATAGTTTATACAAGAAATATTTATCGATTAAATTTTAAAGGAATCCACGATGAATTATTAATTTTATTAGATTTATGTTATTATTTTAAAGCCATTTTATCGGAAGTTATGTTGCATTCTATACATTATTGAATTTATATTACAGCCAAAATGACGTATGACAACCAATTTTTGAAAATTGTGTTTTATTAAAATGACCCCGTTTTTTAATTGACCAAAAAGTTACACTATTCTGTAGCCGATAAATAAAGCTTTATTATTCGTAAAAATCAAATCTCTAACTCCTATAGATTTTGCTATAAAAGAGCTATAAGATAACGGTAGGTAAATTTGAGTTGTTTTTCGGCTCTCCTGAGAAGTTGTCATTTTGCCCTTACGCTACTCTAGTTCTTAACCCACGAATTGTAACGTAACTTTTACCCCAATCCGCGGAATATTGAAATTATGACGCCTAATACTTACTATTGTGTGTAGTAATCAGAAATAGTTTAACTGAATATTTGCATTACGCTAATGTAACTTAAAAAAATCGAATTTTAAAATATTTGAGGGTAAAAGTTAGTAAATTATTTCGTTAGAACAAAAGTACCGCTTTTGGTTCATTTGTAGATATAATCTGTGTATTTAATCATGAAAACGATGTTAATAATTGATTTTGGATTCAGTGGTCAAAATGTTATCGGTAATTCCTGTTTACTTCTAATGCCAAAATCAATAATTAACATCGTTTTCATGATTAAATACACAGATTAAGTATATTATATCTACAACTGACAACTGATTGAGAATAATAAAAAGTCAAGTCGCGCTGTAGGGGTTGATAAGTGAACGACTGTGGCGTTCCCGTTCAGTTTTATCATTAAATAGAGAAGTTGCTTCATAATATATTTTTATTTGTATATTTCATTTTAAAAATAAGTAATTTAATTTGTTCAAATAATATTTAAACAGAAATATAATTTTTAAGGATTGAAAAAATCAAGGTAAACAGCTTTTTTAACAAACCACAACTTAAGTACCTATGTTGAGGTTTGTTAAAAATGCTGTTTAAATAACGTAATACGTCTAAAAGACGTAAGAGTGTGAAGAATATGATAATTCTTCTACTAGTTTTGCGTCTAGTTAACCAGAGACAGGCGTGAAGTTATATATGTATGTATGTATGTATGTATGTTAACTCCACGGAATATAGATTGTATTCTATATTCCGTGGTTAACCCTATGACCATTGAGTTAACATTGTTTGGTGGCACCACAGAACATAATTACCCTACCGGTGATAGCACATGACAGTGACAGTGACAGTTGAGAGTTGATTTGATACAAAATCATTTCAATTATCAAATCAAATAATTTACCTCTCAGATCTCAACAACACAATATATGACAATAATATATCAAGTTAATCAAATTACTAGTTATCTACTATAAAAATTATTTATGAAGGAAAAATTATTGATGTGTGTGTAATAAAACTGAGATGTAAACTACATACGTATTTTCTATTAATCTCAACTAATACCTACCTTCAAACTTGTTTTCTCATTTATTGCGATGAATATATATTCAAAGCTGTTGTACTTTAATCAGGGTCAACAGTTATATGAAGGTGATTTACTAATTTTATAACTATTTTTATCCGTGCTATCATGAAGAAAGTAGTATTATTCAAGAGTGAGTCGGAAGACTATGTGAAAGCATTTCACGAGTGTAATTACAGAACTGTGTTTGTGGAGCCGCTGCAGTTCGAGTTTACTTGTAAACAAGAATTGACAGAAAAACTTCTTCAGAATTACACAGGCATTGTATTCACAAGTCCAAGAGCCATTGAAGCAGTCTCCAAATGCTGGGATCCGACACGGTTTGTGATATGGAACAGAAAAAAAGTTTACACAATAGGTGATGCTAGTTGTCACAAGATTAAGCTGCTGCTTGGGTTAGAAGCATTGGGTATGTCTTCAGGAAATGCTGAAAATCTAGCTAAACTGATTGTTCAAGAAAATCCTGCTAACTCCAGGTTTTTATTTCCATGCGGTAACCTGAGATCTGAGGTTTTGCCAACTATTTTACAGTCATCTAGCATCTCAGTTGATCCACTGACTGTGTATGAAACAACAGAAAACAAAAATCTAAGAACAGACTTGATGGAACTTAATAAGTCAGACTGTCCATGCTGCATGGTATTCTTCAGTCCATCTGGATGTGAGTACATACACCGCCAGCTACAGACCTTCAGCAATGTTCTGTCAGAGTTGCCACACTTTGCTATTGGCAACTCGACTGCTTACAAAATTGAGAATCTTGGAGTTGAAGTAGCTGGGATTGCAGCCACCCCAAAGGCAGACAGCCTGGTAGAGTCCATACAAAAATATTTTGCAAATGCATAGAGGAGTTAATTAATGTTTTGGCTAATCATAACACTTAGTAAAAAAAATGCTAGGTACTGAATACTTGAGCAGATTTTGTAAAATTAATTATTATAAATACCTACAATCGTTAGTTTCTCTAAATCAATGGTATAATTTTGTTAGTGTCTTGCAATCAAATGTAATATCTAAAGTAAAAAAAATGTAAACATGTAGTGGCACAATACATCAAATTTTAATTAACAATGTACATTCCAGAACTGTCTTACTAAATATTTTGTAATCCGTCTTCTCTGAAATTCTTGAAAAATCTGTATAACTACAACTATAAAATGGTAACAGTAAACAACACTAACCACTCTTAAAATTCCAATTTCCCTTTGTGATTGCATCACACATGAACCGCTGTACTAATTTCACTACCTACTTATACTTTTTTTCTTCAGGTGACCTATTATAATAAAATTCATAAAATGAACAATTTTAAAATTCATCTTGCTCAAATACGCACTACATAATATATTTCTGGTTTTCAACTTATGATAGGTTACCTATCTGTCAGAATTAAGAATCAATACCCATACTAAGCAGGGCAGTAAATTTTTTAAATTTACCTACCTAATTTTTAATCTACAGTTTTCATGAGAGGTGGGTAGGTACCTGTGCCTGTGTTAAGTTCCATAATAAGCTGCGTATCGTCACTCTGGGGAAAGTAACCCGCCATTTTCTGGTACACATCGCAGTACTTTTATGACTTCTGTTCAATAGGTTTATGTCTCAATGTTATACAAACTTGTTTTACAAACATGGTGTTGGATGATGTACATTATATTTTTGATATAAAATTGTGATTATTTTTAATTTTAATCCCATTTTACAAGAACCTACTAGCTAGTAATGTCGCGGAGAACCTAACGGGTTACCGGGGCTTCGGCTCGACGTGCAGGAGAAGGAACGGGGTGGTTTTTTAGTCAGTAAGAGTCTGACACTCCCTCCCGTCTCACCCAGGCGGGAGAAGACATTCGATAATTTTTCCCCCCTAAAAAAAACTACCTAGTAATATATTAAGATTTAATATAGGTATTAAGGTAAAACAATGATGTGGCCGGCTATTAAGCACCTATGAGCAACCTGTTCACTCGGGTCATAGCGGCACCCAAGTTGTCTTTTATAGGAAACAGACTCCGCGGTAGGGATTTCCACTCCTTAGCGACCCTTGCTTGGCCGTTAACGTCACTTACACGGCCAAACAAAGAGTTGTTTTATTTCACGCCGGTTTTCTGAAGCTGTGGCATGGCATCACTAGGGTCGAACTGAGTCTTTCGTGCCGAAGCACAGCTCCTACACTTCCCTCTACCTGATAGCAAGAGCGTAAGGCCGTTGGTCGGTAGTCCTGATCTGCACCTGACCTCACTGTACGGTCGTACTATATATGTACTTCTAGACCTACTCAAGGGCGGATCTAGGGAGTAGGTCTGGAGGGTTCAACAGCGGCTGCACTCCCTCTCCTTCAAAGTGCACCTCTCAAATATTCGAGGTTTGCACTCTAATGTCAATGCGGTCCATCACCACCTCGAGACCGAGAACCCTACACTCTTGTTTCTCTCGGAGACCCAGATCAGGTGCCCGTCGGACCTATCCTACCTGAACTATCCTGGTTTTTCCCTGGAGCACAATTTTGTTCCGCATGCAGGTGTATGCGTATACATCTGAGACGGCATCTGTTACCGGCGTCTCCGAAACCTTGAGGACCCTAGTTTTTCTGCCCTTTGGATACTGGTAGACATAGGCCTGGAGAAAATTCTTTAAGTATGCCTGTGTCTATCGGTCGCACAGCGGAGATTTGGAGGCGACCAGATTAGCCTCCTAGAATACCTCGGTGAAGCGGCAGATGCGGCTGGACAGGCGTACCCTTCGGCCCAGTTTGTGGTACTGGGGGATTTTAACGTTCATCATCAGGAGTGTTTATTCCCATACCAGTGCACCGACCATGCTGAAAGGGAAATGCGTAAGCTTGCGCTTTCGTTTGGCCTGACCCAGCTGGTCCAGGAAGCCACAAGGGTTCCCGATCCGATGTCGATACGCACACTGCCAATTGCTTAGACCTTCTGCTGCCAACTGATCCAGACCGCTACGCGGTGACAGTCTCATCACCTCTAGGTAGCTCTGACCACTGTCTGGTGAAATCTGTATCCACACACTCCCCACCAGATCCGAGTCCCAGAGGACCTCGGCGGATGTGGCGATACAAGTCAGCGGACTGGGATGGGATGCGATCTTTATTCGCATCCTATACTTGGCGGCCCGTCTGCTTCTCTTCTGATGACCCGTCAGCTTGTGCGGAAGCCGTAACGGGGGTGCTGCGCCAGGGCATGGAATACTACATTCCACTCTCGGACGTGGCATCCTTTGGTGGGACCCGTCCATGGTTCGATGCCGACTGCGGACGTGCCGAAGCCTCGAAACCTAGGCTCTAAGGTAGCGGAGAACCTAACGGGTAACCGGGGCTCCGGCTCGACGTGCAGGAGAAGGAACGGGGTGGTTTTTAGTCAGAGTCTGACACTCCATCCCGCCTCACCCAGGCGGGAGCAGTCATTCGACGATATTCCCCCGTAAAAAAAAAGTGCTAGCTTATGTATTACTCCAGCCAGACCATAATCTACCACTGTTCCAAATTTCATCTCCCGGTCCCTTCAGACGTTTTGATGTGACTGAGTAACAAACTCACAAATTTCGCATTTATAATAGTGATTCAAGCTAATTTCCACCGTATCGGCCCTACAGTTATATCGTAAGGTCCACTAGCGGGCAACCCAACATTCGACAAACATATTATATTTGTGTTTAGTACAGTATTTACTTAAGTCTAAAGATCGAGCCGCACAATAAAGTTTGTTTTGAGTGTAAATACTTTTTAGGGATAAGAAGTACGCTGTTTCTATACTAGTTCGATCATTCAGGAGGAAAATATGGGCCGCCATCTTGTAAGTATAGACTGGTATAGACCCATTTGGATTGGTGGCCAAATCAACAATTGCCAATTTTCAAAACTCTCGGAAAACATTCCGGAAAACTACGAAATTATTGAACTATACCAATTTCTATGATTCTTTTTTTATGGAATAATTAATAATGTTAATTTTTTTAATTAGGGCTGACTGAGAAAGTGTTATAAACGTAAGAGTAGACAACTATAAAAGCTCTAAAATGTTATCGGGAGTTACTCGTGTTATTGTGAGTTACCCATAAAAGATTTGGATATATGCTGTCGTGTTAATGAAGCGAAAGAGGTATGTAAGAATCGTAGTAATTGGCGTTCCTTAGTCTCTGCCTACCCCCATGGGAGACAGGCGTGAAGTTATGTATGTATGTATATGCTGTCGTGGGATATTTTTCATATTATTTTAAGAAAAACATTTCAGTTTATCTGGGTAGCATAAGATAACATAACATCACGCCTTTTATCCCCGAAGGGGTAGGCAAAGGTGCACACCACTGTACAATGTAACACCCACTTTTCACTATTTATGTTATGAGTCCCATGTAATAGGGGGTGAGCCTATTGCCATATACCGGGCACATTTCCAGACTCCGTGCTACTACTAAGGTTTTTACAAACCCAGTAATACTTTGCCCGACCCGGGAATCAAACCCGAGACCCCTTGCCCGGCAGTCGCACTGGCGACCACTTGGCCAATGAAGCAGTTCTGTGTAGCTTTAGCCATTATAATGCGAATAAGGCGAGGTGTCACACACACTAGTGTTTCTTGGTACCTATGTTTAAATGTGAAATATACTGTAATATATACTGGTTCAACACATTTTAATGCGTTGAACCAGTATACGTAACGTACCAGTGTGCGTGACAGTTCACGGCCACAAAAATAACAAAACATTGTTTTTACCCTAAATCATGTCAATCGTGTTGTAACGCCGGCGACTCGCTTAGCGAGTCCAACTAAAATGTAGGCGGCCTCCGAGAAAACATCGTTGAACATCGTAGTAGTAATGACAGTGTTAACGTACGTCAAGAGTCCCGAATAACAGAGGTGAACAGGCTTCTATGGAACTATTGCCGTACTTCTTTGCACTTCATGTCAACGCACCGTGCCGCTGCTGCGGACTTGTGGACGGGTCCTGCTAAGGTTTCCGCCTTAACTAACTGCACATGGACAATGTTGATTTAAATAAACACAAATATTTGTATAAAACCATATAATTATTATCATTAAAATCTCTAAAGTAAAAATGAGTCGTACATAATTAGATCGAGGTCACCTGTCACATGTTCTCGTTAAACAAACGGCCGAGTGGGTACCGAGCGGGTACCGAGCGGGTACCGAGTGGCTGGCACACCAAGCGGGCACGTCGCCACTCGCGACGGGACAAACAATACTTACATGTGATATGTATAAGACATACAAAGGAATATTAATCGAAAACCGTAACAGGGGTGCACTCGGGCCACGTGGCCACGCTGCGGGAGTAAGCTCACGGGAGACCACACATCGGATATATCGGACAGTATAAAACTCTTCTATTCATAACTCGTGTTACATGTCCAACTTCTCTTACCACTAACTATAATGTACGCTTACTGAATACGAACAGTATTATAACATTATCATGCAAACCATCTGCTCCGTCATTACAAGCTTACGACAAAATAAAGATACGACGTACGCGTCGTATTCACAACAATTATATTGTGACTATTTAACAAATACTTCGCTTACAATTCAACCCTTCGAATATATTCCGTGTACACTTTATTATATGATTTCATAATTGCATAAATGGCTTATACATACAAAACTTAAATAAACAATACAAACGCGGTGGACGAAGAGTAAATGATAGTAATAACCGACGCGAACATCAGGAACCAGACATCGGTACAAGACATGACTAGACTCGCTAAGTATTTGTGCAAAAACTAATCGAGGAACCGTCGTCGCTCGTCAAATATACAAATGATCCATCGCTAAATCTAGAGCTGACTAGAATAAAAATCAGACTTG